AAATGACTAACTTTTCAGCCCCAAGTTGAACCTGATAGAGGATCTTCCACAAGTACCAAAACATTGCAATATTTCCTCCAATTTATCTTATTTTGTTTTTATTTTCCATCGTCACATTATGAAGTGACAGAAGGCTCAATGTACCTTTTCTGAATGAACTAATCAAGGGTTTTGGAGAAGCAGATGTCTATGCGTTATGTTGTGCCAAACGATTCACTTGGCAATCAGCAGTTCACAAAAGTGCATCTTTGAATATTAAGTAGATTTCTTTATTTTCAGATCCACACTACACTACCTGCATTTATGGAATAATAACAGCCAGTGACTTTTTTAATATTTACAGTGACATGCCGACCAAACTTCTTAAATATTCATTAGAAATATGGCTTTTGTTCGAGGTTAAAATATGAATAACTTTTTCTCTGTATAATATTCACATTCAGTGAACAGTTCAGTCACATTGCCATTAAAGGTATTATATTACACAAAAACTGACTCTTATGAACTTTAAGCCATGTTATAATGCTGTTACTTCCTCAAAAACAGACCTGGAGTTGTGTTTTGTTTCATTCTCACATGTTTGAGTAATCCTGGTTTATTAGTCTGTCTACATCTCCAAAGTTTAAAATGCTCTGTTCCACCTTGTGATGTCTCTTTAGGGCTGAAGATATGTGTATTTATGTATGTATGTGTATGTGTATGTGTGTATGTGTATGTGTGAGGGTGTATGGATTTTAAAAACACAGTGGAGCACTTTCGATATTACAACATGGTATCACAAAGTGGAAGAGACCATTTTTTTTTCTTGTTTGTGAGAAGAAATCAGGCTAAATATGAAGAGTTTGTGTGTTATATAAAACGTGTGTGTGTTGTTTAGGGCTGATGAACGATCTATCATTTTGGACCGAAAATCGCGATTGGGAGCGTCATAACTGCGTTTTTTTGCAGTGCTCCTAAAGCCCAATTTAAGGGCAAAATATAGTTCTGCGTCAACTTAATGCACACTGCTGCCATCGCCTTGTCGCCGTCGTTTTTGATTTATGAGGTCTGCGCCGAGGTCTATGCACTGCAAAGTAACTCACCACAACGCTGGGAGGCTAGGATTTAAACCTGCCGTTCATGTAATATTTTACATGCATCATCAACATATCCTCTGTCACAGAAGAACACTCATATTCCACTGAGTCGTGTCCTTTAGTCCGACAGAAGCTGAACCGCATCACGGCACAAGGAATGAGTTTTGGTTCTGTAAAACGTAAACAAATGTGTGCAAACGGTCCAGTGTCAAAGCGTCGGTGCAGGACTCTGGTATGACGTCAGTTTCTGTGATGTTTGCAAATGTTCACGTGCACTCAAATTTGATATGAAAAGTTTGGTGGATGCAATCAAAATCATAATATCTGCTAGAAAAATCGCAATACAATTTTTTCTTAAAATCATTCAGTCCTAGTGTTGTTATGTGTGAATGAAACAAAACTCAACTCCTGGTATGTTTTTGATGAAGAAACATTAGAACATAATAATAATGTATTACTATAATCTATAGTGTCTATTATCTATTATTACGGTCACAGCTATCCTAACAGAGATCCTAACTGACAGAGATGTGGCTTTCAATCTGTGCTCCTGACTCCTCGATCATCAAAAACATGATCACACTAACACATTTTTATTGGTCAGAAGGAACTGAAAGTATTCGATACACATTTATTAAGCTAAAGTTAAAGGTGCGCTATGTAACTTTTATGAAAGATGTTACACCACAAGTTTGTCTCCTTTTAAAATGTTATTGCTTTGCATGGAATGTCATTCAATTTATCTTACTTACTTAATTTTATTTCCTTACAGGTGTTTTTATTGTTTGTAAATCCCTTTTAAAAAAAGCATTCTTAATCGGGGGTTTCCTCTCCACAGATCTGACCTATAATTTATCCTAGTGGTGTGTCGCCTGCTTATCTTCATGACGAAAGATAATGCCACATTCGAGGAAAGGCAATAGCATTGTTATGAAGACAAGCAGGAGGCAATGACCAGAAAAGTTACATAGTGCACCTTTAAATTAAGTTTGAGTTGAATTATGAAGTTTGTGCATTTGTAAAATCAAGTGGAAGTTTCCATGGAGATGTTTCAATGAATAAATTGGTAGCAGCAGCTGTCTCTGCTCCTGTGTTAGTGCCTACAGCTCAATGCTATGGGCTAATCTCAAAGTCTGTGGCTGTAGCTTCGAGAAATCCCATAATAATTCACTTTCACTGCAAAAAGTAATAACTGGATAAGTTAAAATGACTGGAATTAAGACTATGTTATCTTGATTTGAGTAGATTTGACTTGCCAATGGAACAATATATTTTTCTTAGATCAAACAATTTAAGATCCCCTGCTATATAGTTATAATTTGACACCCATGGATCATTATGTTATAATTTGGACTTTTTAAACCACAATATTCATCTAAAACAAAGAGGAGAGCCATGACCGTAGCTGCACATCACACTAGCGAGTAGCAGATTATCTTTTAATTTGTGCTAAAATTACTATGCTGCCGAATCCTCTGTGTATTACCGATTAAGAAAATCAAATTGGAGAACAGAGTAATTATAAAGCAGTGAGCATGTACGCTGGTGATTGAAAACGGGGGTTGATTGAGACTGAAATTACGCAAACATGCATGAATCAACAACTTCGAGAGGGTAAATGAGAAGGGACAACTTTAACAATGTAAAAACTCAAACTGGTCGATTTTATATACCGTATTTTTCAGACTACAAGTCGCTCTGGAGTATAAGGCACACTTTTTTGGGGAAATTTATTTTATAAAATCAGAGACCAGGAACTGACATTTCATCTTGAAAGGCAAGTTATAATAATAACAATAGAACAGAGAACAACAGGCTGTTAACGTCACATATGAACAGTTCTTCAAATAACTATAGCATAAACAACAGAACAGAACAAGTTTACCAAACTCTCCATCTCACTCCAAATCACTAAATCCACTGAATTCTTCATCCTCGGTGTCACTTCTGAGTAACTCCATGACCTCTGAAGGTAAACGGAGCGCCGCTTTCTCTTCTACATAGCTGCGTCAGACTCAGCATCAGTTCCAGTTAGAATTATTCTGGCCTTTCTGAATCCCGACAGGATGTTTTCAGTTGTCACTGAAGTCCATACTTCATCGATCCACCCAATGACTTCCAGGAAAGTTACATGGCTTATCCTCCCAGTTGCTGCAGAGCTGTTTTCTCCATCCCCGCTTTCTGCCAGTCTCTCACAAGTTTCTTGCTTGCTCCAAACTTTATTTCTGCTGCTTGATTATTGTTTTCGGCTGCACATTTCACTACTTACAGCAGGACATCAGCTCTTTCTGCAGGAGACATGAACAGTAGAGCCAAGTGACAGTGGTACAAGAGTAATAAGAGTAACAGATATTGGCACACAAGCCTAGAGCCACTTGCGGCTGTCAGTTTGAAAATTTTAATATATAAGTCGCACCGGAGTATAAGTTGCAGGACCACCCAAACCATGAAAAAAAGTGCGACTTATAGTCCAAAAAATATGGTAATCGTCTGCTTTAAGTATAACAAGATGTTTAGTTAAGCCTGACGCTTTTAACATGCCAAGTCCAATCTACTCAAGTCAAAATAAAGTAGTCTTAATTCAAGTAATGTGAACTGACCTAGAAATTACTTTTTGTGGTGTTCTTTTTTCAAGATATGCAACTAATGTGTGAGTGCTTCCTGTATTACAATGTTCCTTGATGGTGTAACTCATGTATTTCTGTCTAAATACATGCGTTTGTGGTGTATTGGTGGATATGCCATGACATGCATTTAATATTGAATGTGACTGGTGCATGCAACTAACCCTAACCCTGACAATACTGTGTGTATCAAAAACAGTGGTTCAAGTGGGTTTTATATTCACAAAATCGCTCTTAGTGTTTTGGTTATTTAAATTATAATAGTGCCTCGCTGTTGTAATTGGATTGGCCCCAACCACCATTTTTCATTTAGAAACATTGGCCAAGAGAAATAATGAGTTTGGAAATGTTAACTATAGCTTGCCTGTTTACTTATAATAGAGCAACAATAGCGCTCTCTATACAATAAATAATTCATGTAATTTTTTAGTTTGTTGACCAATGGGACCAGTCTCACAAATGTGGGTGAAATGCAGTGTGTTTATTTAAATACAAGGAGTAACAAAACATCATCATTTTGTGTTTGTAGTCTCTTCTACAGCTAACCCAATCTGTCGGGAGAAATATCATCAGCCATAATAGATCTTAAAGCTTTTATATTACACAAAATTGACTTTTGTGAGCTTCGTCAAAACATACAGTTGTGTTTTGTTTCATTCACACATCCTCCAAATCCTTTATTATTAGGCTGTCCACATCGACAAAGCTCAAAATGCTCCATTCCACCTTGAGATGTCATGAAGCGGTAATTTTCAAGTTAACAGCCTTTTACCTTTTAGTTCAGTAGAGAGTGGCAAAGTCAGGGCTGAAATTATCCCAATGATTCTAGTGAAGGTGAATGGAGTTTAAAATGACAGTGGAGCACTTCCTGTATTGCCACATGACATCAAAAGGTGGAACAGAGTGTTTTCAGTTTGAGAGAAGTCTGCCTAAATATGCAGGGTTTCTGTGTTAAGCATGTGTGAATGAAACAAAACACAACTTCGGGTATGTTTTTGATGACAACATTATAACATAGATTAGAAAATAATGTAATAAATAGGAGTAAGGCTTTAGTAGTTAGTTAGTATTTATGATGAAACATAGAAGTTCATAATTCAACCTTCTACAGCTCAAACCTCATCATAGTACAGAAAAATGACCCAAATGTTAGTCGTCTTAAGTGTTTACTTGTGAGACTGGCCCCTGGTTTACTATAGACACTCATTATTTCCACTTAAACCATAGATCTGTTGTTTTCCTGCTCGTCCTCCTGTCCTCCGCCTGTTTGTTGAACCACAAATGCTCTGCTTGTGCTCAGGCTCTGGATGCACGATGCGAACATTGGACAGTGGAATTGGGACCATCCCCCTTCCTGAATCCTGCTCCTTCTTCTCCTCCATCCTGCACCTCCTCCCTAAGTCCTCCTCCAACCCGGAGCAGGCCCTGAGCCCCCCCTGCGTCCCGGGCGGCCCCTCCCCCCTCCCCCGCTGGAGAGTCCCGTCCGGCTCCAAGGACCAAGCGGGGATGCCCAGTTCTCTGTCCGACTCGTCCGTGCCCCTCCTCCAGTCAGTGCCTTTCCCCCATGTGGCCTTCCTCCAGCCTGCCCCCCTGACCTCTGACCCCCGAGTGACTGCAATGTGCGAGCCCCACAGCCGCCTGCCCCGCCCACAATCAGGTATAGTACACAAGCCACTCCCACAATTTGCTCTAGCCCCGCCCATAATTAGGTATAGTTCTCAGTCTACGCCTGTCTGTAGAGATTGGCAATTCCAGGGCTGAAATTATCCAAATGAATCTAGTGAAGGTGTATGGAGTTTAAAAACACAGTGGAGCACTTCCTGTATGACAACATCAAGAAATAGAAGGAGTATTTTTTGTTTGAGAACCTAAATAATATGCAGGATGTGTGTTAAACGCGTGAATGAAACACACTTCCAGGTTTTTGATGAGGAAACATTAAAACACAGATGAGAAAATAGCGTAGTTATATGGGCCCGTTAATGATAAGGAAGCACCATTTTAACATGATTAAAAAGTCTTTTCTTTTCACAATATGTCCCTTTAAACTTAATGGTGCAAAAGGTCCAATGTCTCCACCAAACTGAAACCACAACATTGTCCTTGGTGACTTTAGTGCACTTTGAATTAATGAAAGCCATTTGTGACCCAGCAGTTGGGAACCTTCTTAATTAAACGCATTAGACAGTTTTAAGTGAACTCTGAGTCACTTTTTTCATCACATACTCTGGGATAGGCAAAGAATCTTAGACGCACCTATGCTGAAAACACACAAATATGGTATTTTAAAGGTCCTTTATTATTTTAAATCATGTTATAATGCTGTTATCTCCACAAAAACATACCTGAAATTGTGTTTTGTTTCATTCACATGTTTGAGTAACCCTTTATTATTAGTCTATCTTCATCTTTAAAGCTCAAAATGCTCTGTTCCAACTTGTGATGTCATGAAGCGATAGTTTTTAGGTTTACAACTACCATTTACTTCTAATTTAGTAGATGATGTAAATGATTATAGTGATGTATGGAGTTTAAAAACACTGAGGAGCACCACATGACATCATAAATTGGAACAGAGTGTTTTCAGTTTGAGGGAAGAAAATATATGCAGGATTTGTGTGTCAAACATGTGTGAAGGAAATTAAAAATAGCCCCAGGTATGTTTGTGATGAAGAAATAACATTATAACATTGCTCAGAAAACAACCTAATATGAGCTCTTTAATTCTTCTAAATAAAACTGCTAGCAGTAATTTATCTTTTCAAAATAACCCACTGGTGTGTTTTTTTAACTTTTAACTTCCACCCACCTGTTGCTGTGGTTTTTAGACATCAGTTTTGAACATAATGTCTGTTAAAAGCCCCAATAGCTTTCTAAATTCATTGATGTGAAAGTGTATTGCATATTTATAAGGGATGAATCATCGGTCACTTAGTTAGTTGGCATGGGCCTAGGTGGTATCTTTCTGTTACAAATTGGAACATCTCTAGTATTATTGGTTGTTATAAATATTCCTTTGTGTGTGCGTGCGTGTGTTAAACATGGGTAAATTAAACAAAACACAACTCCATGTATGCTTGTAATGAGGAAACAACATCATGACATAGATAGGAAAATAGCATCATATGGGCCCTTTAATACCACATATTGTCTGCAATAGGGATGTAACAATAACCGAAATATTGTGATATTGTATCATCAAAAGTCTCACAATAATATCGCAGGCTGTCACAATATTTCAAATTACAAGTTCCTTTGCTTAAATGCATGGTTTTATAGTTGCAGCAACTTATGAACATAGGGAACTACATATCCCATGATCCATTTCAGCGCAGACAACCTGAAGAAATATGTTTTTTACTTGAATTCTTGGGAATTCACACCAAAATCTTGTCCAGGTATTTTTAAAGCAAAAAAGTGTCACATCTACAATAATATTAGCCTCTCCAAAATATCGCAATAAATATCATACTGTGAGATGCATATTGTGAATATCGTCCTGAGAGATTTGGATATGGTTGCATCCTTACTCTGTGATGTATTTAACTCCTCTTTCTTACAAAAGGCAGAATAAAGTTAAAAGAACCAAGTGCCAAATCTGTGTGTGGTACATTTGTTGTTTCTGTTTCAGGCGACATGGAACCAAAGAAGATGAACTATGTCAAATCCAAACCCAGGCCCACTCCAAGTCAACAGAAAGAACAGAGCCGCCTGCAGCTCGCCAACTGTAAGACACACATGCAGTACAGTCTTTTAAAGGTGCACCATGGAACTTTTCTGGGCGAGGGTCTGCCACCTGCCTGTCTACATGGAGATGCTATAGCTTTGCCCGGAATATTTGACAGGATGATGCTAAATATATTGATGTAGCAAAGTAGATTATAAAGCTTGCATTGTTACTGTGAGTGGAGTCACCTCTCCACAGATCTGCCTTGCACTTTTGTCTGCAATGACACCTGCTTGGCTTCATGTCGATTGAAAAGGTTAATGCCATACCGTGGAAGGAAAAAGGAGAAATTCAATTTGTCAATTGGACAAAAGATTATTTGGTCGAATACTTTTCACAGCTCATCCAAGCTGCTTCAGTTCCGGTCAAAGTGTGGGTGGACTCTTCCTTATATCTGCCTGAAGGGAGGAGCTAACTACAATGAAACAACCCTGAAACTAACACACCTACTTGTTTACAGTTTCTGTTAGTTTTATTTTATTTATTTATTTATTTATTCAATATTTTACCAGGTAAGTCAGTTGAGAACACCTTCTCATTTACAATGACAACTTGGCCAAGAGGCAGTGTAAAACAAAAGCACAAACAGAAAACACTCACACATTTACTATAACATGAAACAGTGAATAGAGACATAAGACAGTAAAACATTTGCAGATTAAAGATATAAAAATGTTAAGAACATGTGCAATTATCCTGTAAAATACTCTAGATTTACCTAAAACAAGGTAAAAACGAAATAAGTTTTAAAGTCTGTTGAAGGTAGTTAAGAGGTGTGTTACCCCGAATTCACACCAGGAGCTGCAGCTGCGCTTAACGTAGGCGGAGCTGCGCGTACGCGTAAATTTCAAAGTTTCAATTCACACCAGAACGTCAGAGACACTCCTGCTACGCAGCCTGCACATCTTCTCACTGTTTTCAGACATCACATTTTGTACTTGCTTTTTATCATTTATTTTATGTTAAAGTGTATTAAGTTAGAATGTGTATTAAGTGTATTGTGAATTAAGTGTACAACTGCAACGCATTTGCGTTTAATGAGGTTTAAATCTATTAGCACGCACATTAAACACCTCAGTTTTTTTCCCCTTAATAAGGTAAAATCACGTATAATTAACATACATTATGAGCGTGATTAAAATCTTATGTCCGTCCAGGTAATAAGGCCTATACTTTTATATGTTGATACAGATGGATAAGGGAAAATAGTCGCTGAAACGGGCGAGTTTTAACGTTCTGGAATTTTAAGGGCGTGTCAGGACTAATTCAGGTGTAAACCAGGTCTAAACCACGTCTAAACCATGACTAAACCCGGACTAAACCAGGTCTAAACCAGGTCTTATCCTGGAGAGAGAGAGAGAGATAGCGAACCCTGAGCCCCGCGGAGCAGGTGTCCGAAAAGCGCGACAGCTGCACGTACCTCTTCACCAAGCTCTGCACCGGTTCTTTCGCCCGCGGACACTCAGGGCTAAACGGAAGGACCTCCGAGCACATTCAGACATGAGTCTTGGTTCTGGTTTTGTCCTGGGTTAGTCCTGAGTCCTTATAGAATTGGTGTCTGACATCGTAAATCACGTGCGCGTTGTTTACGTCGCTGTCTTGACTATGGTTAAATTATTTTGAAAGGGCATCGGAAGTTTATTTTGACACCGCGTGTTTATTTCCTGTCTTTCCCCTGCTAAAAACCTTGGAGACGCGCCGTTGACGCTGCAAAATTAGAAGTTCAACCTATCTCGAGCAGCGCGTCAGCGTCAGACGCTCGTTGGACGCGCGTATGACACTGTCGGTGTGAACTGTCAGACCGGTTAAAATGGAGTCCTAAAGCAGCGTGTCTGCTGCTCGTGTGCTGTGCTGCTGCGCTTACGAACCGTTGCGCTTTGGTGTGAATTGGGGGTTAGTTTTAGAGTAGTTTCTTTGTAGTTAGCTCCTCCGTTCAGGCAGATATAAGAAAGTGTCCACCAGCATTTTGACCAGAACTGAAGAAGCAGCTTGGATGAGCTGCGAAGCAAATTCGACCAAATAAACTTTTGACCAGCTGACAAATTGAATTTCTGCTTTTGCCATGGATTCTAACTGGACGACTGAGGAATTTTACACTAAACAGACTGTGGAACATTTCAGACAAAGCAATGACATTTTCCTCAAGGTTTTTCTTTATCATCAGAAACATCAGAATAAATGCAAAATAGTTAAGTTTAAGGTCATACTATGGAATATTGTAACCAATGCAAGAACATTTCCATGGAGACAAGTCAGCGGTATACCAGAAATGTTCAGTAGTGCACTAACAATAACTTCAAATATTTCTGCAGAGGAACGCAAATCTATTACAGAAATCTTTTTTTAATTGATGAACTCTTTCTTATTATAATATTATAATATTATGAACAACCTGAAACTTGAAAAAAAATTCAATTTCAGCACAATGTTTTAACAATAACTTGTTTGCAAACAGGAATAAGTCCATTTTTCTTGGAAAATTCTGCACTCGGCTCCACTTTTCTCATGTTAGACATTTTGCTGATGAGGGTGTCACGGTCAACAGTCAAAACGATCGTCCTTTAAGAGCGTTTGGAAAGAGACAAGTCTTCATTTGTGCTGCTCTGGTGGGAGGGGCCACGTACAGAGACGCTGGAGACGCTGCTGATAAACACCACAGAAAATTACCAATATTTTAATAGAAAATATAATTAAAATATTTT